CAATGATGATTAGTTTATGCCCACTTGAATCACGTGTTTTTTTAATGCGGATGAAAGAGGGTAATGACTTGGAAGCAGGTGCTAATATAAAGCGGTGGTTCTGACATAGAATAGAAACCATGGCTAGGAAAATGAAATAAAGACATTTTTCCCTGTTTAGATTCGTGATGTAATCTTTCAAACTACTACTGACAAAATATTACTATTATAAATGAGCTTCCTTTTGAAATTATTTGAATAAACATTTGTCAAAGGGATAGAGAAAAATTTAAATTAAAACACTTCGAAAAGTGCTGAGTTTTTTTTAGATTACTTGAACTAGTTTCTTGTTATTAATATAAAGGGGACTATTGATTGAATGTGGTTAAATTCACTTCTACCATCGTTGTATGTCAAATGCAACGGTTTCTTCGATGTTATCTTTCATTGAAATTGCCCGGGAAAAAAAGACTTCCGTTTAAATATTCCTACTTCACTTCCGGTCAAATATACTCGGCTTAACCTTCCAACCCACGATTACAGGAAAGCATCTTGTTCACACGCTCAATGGGACGTAACGTACTCGCATTATTAGAGTTCACCCAGTGTGAACGTCTCTCTAATTTTTAAGTTCTCCGAGTTTAAAATCTATCGATCGCCACCTGGTAGCCTTATCCAAACGCATCTTAGTGCAATCTGGCCGGCTGAACATTCCTTGATCGGTAATTCCACCCGCTAGAGAATCGATCTCGATCGTCTGTTTACAGTTGCCGCTGTTTCTTTCGTTTTGTACGTTTTTACTTTGAAAATTATTTATTTCGTAAGCCCGCCGTGCTTAGATCTAAAGCTTACCTGTTCTCTAAATAGGACTGTATTTTTTATTTCTTATTTTGTTAATAAAAGTCCCCTTTGAATCTTACTCCTTTCAATTTACAATCGCTTCATGTATTTTGTTTTATTATTCTTTTATACTATTCATTTAAAAAAAATGATATAATTAGTTTTCAACACAAAAAATGAAGCTATCAGGAATCGTTTTTATAAATGAAAGTATTTAAATGTGTGAATATAACATTTATGCCCCAATACCAAGATTTTATGTTCAAAATTTAAAATGAACAGTATTCCTAAACCGCGTTAAGTTTATACGTAAAAATACAAATGCCATCGTCTGTTCACTAGAGAGGATACTCGCATTTAAAAACAAAACAAAAATCCATGGGAGCCTCGTATACATGCATTTTCTAATAACTTACTGAGATAACTAAATTACCAGTGAGAAAATTTGTTCATTATCATATTAAATGATGATGATTTCTTTGTTCAGACACATCATACTGCGCCTTTATCACTCACACGTACACACAGGCACTCACTCACACACTCACACACACAGCGCACACTCATACACATAAAAATACCTCAGTCACACCGAGAAAAAAAACCGACCAGGCAAAGCAAATTACATTACCCCGAATTGCAAAGAAATAGTCGGGTTTGGAGTCGATGTGAAGTAGGTTTGGCGGTGTGAGTGATACTTCAGTCCAACCGACGAGACCGACCCCAGGCCGATAAGAGATAGAAACAAAAAACATGACCTCACCCGAATGGACAAGAATCGGGCGGTTATGGAATCGGTTTACCGGTGTGACTGAGGTACAAACTGTGTGGGGAACCACGAGCGCAACTCAAGGGGATGTCAATGCAACACATGTGTCACAATTCTCACATTGTGATTGAATTCACTTGGGTTAAATTGGGGTCTGGGGTACCGAGGTGACCGATATCACACTATTATCATGCTAACAAAATATAGGCCAAGGTACAATCTCTACAATCTATACATGATAGTCCGGTTCAACATGCGAGATATGGTTATCACTCAGAAACATAGCTATAGTCATAAATCTCTCTAAAAATCATCAACGACATATTGTAGAAATGTATCACTGAAAGAGTTATGCAGGGTATTTTCTCTATCAGGAGAATTGAGCATGCTTACCGGAATTTTTAACTTTGAACAAAATTCCATTCCCCATTTAAATCGTATTATTTTATCTTTTCGTCAAATTTGAATGAAATACTGATGTAAAAAAAAAAAGCTTAAACTCTATTGGAAAACATATTCTTTACAAAAAAAGTCCCATTAACAGAGTCTTTATCAACCTCCTCATGTTATGCGCTTAATCTTGTTTCTATATTGGTGAACATAATTATAGAGTAACATTTTGATTTTTCACCAAATAATTAAAAAATATTCAGTCAATACAGCAAGTAGTACCCGGGAAACTGATACACTAAGAATTCCTACATAATAACGTAAGACCTTGTGTCCCATTTCTCTCCACATTGCTGATCGTTTTTTTTATTAATTTGATTTTACTTAAAGCCACTACAGTACATCAGTAAAAGCTATCCGTGAAAAAAGGGACGCCTACAGATTAAGCAAGAAAACAAAACACTTGAGGGGAATATAAGGGGAAAAGCGAACTGATTCACACCAAACAGTCTTGGTTTGCATATTATATATTATACCCTGCCAAAAGTGTTGTGTTAATCTCTAAAAGCAGATCAAAGATGGATGGGGAAATATTAATTTCTTGTCATTTCAATGCATACGCAAACAGTAAAAAAAAAAAAAAAAAAAAAAGCCTTCACTTGAGACTGGTACCGACAGAAGCTTCATTAAAATCCTCGTACTCGTTTCAGCAAGTGGGTTTTTTCAGATCACGTGACCAAACCAAAACACTGAAGTCAGTGGGGGTGTAAAATCACACAGAGAAAAACCACGGACGAATGAATCTCAATCTCTCTTTAATATCAAGAGACTCCGTGAAGATAAAGTATGGTTAGATGATGATTATTTTCATTACTTCATAATACCCTCTGTGAGATCATAATTAGTTTTCAATATCTGAGTTAGCATGTTAATACCGGCTAGATTTATGGTTCGTTTAGGAGGGCACTGCACTATTTCAAAATTTCAGGACGTGAAACATAAATTTAGATCGTGATTATGCATAAAGTTTATAAATGGCCATGTAGTCAACCTATCAAACTATGTATAAAATGGTTTCCATGACCTCACGTTCTAGATAGCTTTATCCGATTACCGGGACAGTGAATGTTCTCATTTGAATTGGGTCAATCATCAGAAATTAGGATACATTATCCTCATTCTAATTTAGAATAGGGAGTGAAATATTCTATTTATATATGACCGTGGCTACTAGCTGGGCAGGAATACTAATATCTGACCTGTTAGTACTCTAATAAATTAAAATGTCTGGAAGCGACACGATTTGGTGATCATCGTAGACATTCATGGGTAGCTTTTAATATTATGCTGTCATCCAACTGTCAAAGAACTCAGTTCCTTCAATAAAGAAAGTTGCATTGTAAATATTTATTGTTAACCTTCATTTCAAATCTATTATGTACTTGAAGAAATTAAAAATGCTTAAATTGATGGCCAGGCTCCATGTCAAATCATTCAGAAATTCATTCATGTTTAACGTATATACGAAAACATAACTGATTGACAGCCCATCCTGTCGGAGGAAGATGAACAACTCTGAGAGCAAAAGATTCGATTATGAGATTCAATTCAGTTTATTTACGCCGTCAGAATAACAATAAAAAAGCAGGAACAGGCATGTAAATACATATTGTAATATATATACATGCAAATCAAGTCAAAATGTTATTTAGTGGTTTCAGGATAGTTTTGGGACGGAGACTGGAATTTCAACAAAGATTAAATGGCTCCAGGATTTAATGTCAGTTGCTAAAAGATGATGAAGTCGGAGAAGATGACGCTGAAATTGATGTCTCCTTGCACCTATCTCGTTCTTGTTTTCCCAAAATGGTCTAATTCATATACCCTAATGGATCAAAATGACTTGAAGCAATATCATTTTAGGGAATGTACACGAAAAGTAACTGATTCATGACAAAATGACAGCAGGATCGAAAGGGCAGGAACAAAGGGTAAGCAGTTAGCAGATGCATAAATGAACAATGTTACACTGGATTTAGAAGAGAAATGTTTGGTCCTCGTATTCATTTGTCAGAGACCATTTTGATTATTTTTTTTAATACATATTTAGACGCATACACCATATTATAAACGTTATTTCTCTGACAAAGAAAATATATGTTTAACTGTTAATTATTTCTGAAACGGATTTTGAACTAGTTCACATGTCACGTGCTTGTAAAAATGTTGTACTTTTTTTTTGTATTCATTTTCTAGTGTACATAACTTATCTCAGACCATCCTTAACAGCGGAAAGTAATTAAATAATTGATCAGCAATATTGGCAGTGGACAAATAATAATGGACAAAACGTGTGCGAACTCATGGCTAAAAAGGTACTTTTTGGTAAAACCTTAGTTATAGAAATTGTGGGCATCGTTTATCACACTCTTTCAGGCTGATTTAAGCTCCTAAAGATAGGTAACAAAAGTGAAGTCTTTACACCTTCCTATCCAAAATAGAAGAACAAAAATGTTCAGTGACGATTACAGCCTATGTAGACTGATCCACTAGTACTACTTGACAAAATACGTATTTTTTCTTATGGTTCGATATACAGAGGTGAACGGATGGATGTCACGAGGGATCAAGCTAACCAGTTGGTAATCATGCAAATAAAACAAAAGCACGGGCACACTAAAAAGCAACGAACTGCGACACCTTGGACCAAAATAGAGAAGACCCTGTCAAAATATACCAGCGTTTTCCTCCTGAAATTTGTTAATCTGTCTTCGGATCCCGTAAGAAACACGAGAGGTGTATCGACAGAAGTTGAAGAATGAATGAGCGCTACGCATAACTTTGATAAAGAAGTGTGCGTTCCGATTTCAGAGGGTTACCATGTGAAAGTCAAATGCAAAGCGGAATGGGGAAACAGGCAAAACTCACACTGCTATCTTGTTTGGTGGTATTTGGTTATTCCTACCAAACGGGAGGGAAAAGCAATGTATATTTTGACGGGGATTGTTCTTTATTTGCCTACCTGCCGCAAAAGGCGTGCTTCTAAGAGCCCACCAGCTCGTGAATGTTTGTCGTAGCCAATAGTTTTTCATTACATCTAGATCCGAATTAGAAAGAGAGAGAGAGAGAGAGAGAGAAAGAGTTGTTTTAACATAAATGTATATGTTAGCATTAAATAAAGTAATCAAACATTATGAATTTGGTACTTTCACCACAATTGAGAATGGCTTCCTACTCCGTAAGGTTGGAAACGGGATGTGTCACTCAGTCAACACTAACGGGTATGTTGATGGACACTCCTTTGGAAATTCGATTTTGGCCGGTCATGGAAATGTAAACAGAGAGAAACAAATTTAGGAAGCAAATTTCAAACAAGGGGATTGTATAGTCTCACTCGCTTAGCTATTTGAGTACGGAAGGAATCGAAATATTGCGAAGTATTTTGCTTCTAGACCCGTGAAGATAATCGCCATTCGTTACTTAAAGTGTGCTCACACCTTTTCAATCTTTATTCTCACTGAATAATGCACAGAGAAGATGATACATATTGCTTTCACTCAATCCCTATAAAATCTCAGAGACGCCATGTGTTGTTAAACAACCTGGGGATGATATACATATGTCCAGTTGTTCATTTTGATCCGAACTGAACGTGATGGTTATTAGGTGATATATATCTTTGTTCCTTTCCCTCACAAAAAGAGCAAGAAAAAAGTTTGTTTTGCCTTTTAGATGTTAAAAATTGCACGCTTGTCAAAATGTTAGTTATGAAAATTGCTTGAAATGTGCATAACTGCATCATGCGGATGCTCAATCTAACTCCACAAAATTTGTGACTCTACAATGATCTTATGCGAACTTTTTACTGTGCCGCAGGCGCGGATCCAGGATTTCTTAGGGGGGGGGGCCAAATTTTAAATTATGCGAGCCAATATTAGGTACGTATTGGTAACCAGCAGTGACGTAATGGGGGGGGGGGTGCAGGGAGGGGCCATCGAGTTTCCCCCTCCATCCTCCACGAAGCGTGGAAGCTTTGACGTTTCATTAAATTATTAGAGAAAGAAGACGATTCGTTGTACCGTTCTCGAAAATAATCCTTGTCCAAAATCAGTTCCCCCCCCCCCCTCCTGCGCGAAGCTCGGTCGCTTTAACGTTTCATTTAATTATTAGAGAAAGAAGACGATTCGTTGTACCGTTCTCGACTCTTAATTCCCGTCTAAATTTAGTTCCCCCCCCCCCCGCCTGCGCGAATTAGCGCGGAAGATTTTACGTTTCATTAAATTATTAGAGAAAGAAGACGATTCGTTGTACCGTTCTCGAAAATAATCCTCGTCTGAATTCAGTTCCCCCCTCCCTCCCACGTGAAGCGCGGAAGCTTTTACGTTTCATTAAATCATTAGAGAAAGAATACGATTCGTATTACCATTCTCGACGCTTAATCCCTGTCCGAATTCAGTTTTCCCCCTCCTGCGCTAAGCCCGGAAGCTTTTACGTTTAAAAAATCATTAGAGAAACAATACGATTCGTATTACCATTCTCGACTATTAGTCCCTGTCTGAATTCAGTTCCCCCCTCCTATGCCAAGCGCGGAAGCTTTGACATTTCATTAAGTTATTAGAGAAAGAAGACGATTCGTTCTACTGATCTCGAAAATAATCCTTGTCAAAAATCAGTTTCCCCCCCTCTTGCGCGAAGCGCGGAAGCTTTCACGTTTGTTCTTTATCTGGTCCTTTTTACGTCCTCTTCCTTTTCTTTCCTCTCTCTTTTTTTTTTGGGGGGGGGGGGAGGAGCAGCGTTTTTTGGGGGACCGCCCCCACCGCCCCCCCACCCTGGCTACGCGCCTGTGGTCAGATAAACATATTTTGATACCTTGTCCGACCCCGGAAAAAAATTCTCATTAATTCTATTTCCTTTTTAGGCATTTGATTACGGTCAGATGAACATATTTGTGTACCTTATTTGTGACATTGACTGTACACTATTTGGCGTGAGGTCCAGCGGGCGGAGCCCCCAGAAGCTCAGGGGTTTAAGGCAATAAATTACGGTCAGACAAGCATTCAGGGGCCAGCCTTGGGGCCCTTGGTTGGGTTCAGGGGGCAGAGCCCCCGGAAGCTCAGGGGTTTTAGGCGTTTAATTACCGATGGTTAAATGAGCATTTTTAGATACCTTATTATTTTGTGACACTTGCAGGACACTATTTTGCGTGGGGTCCAGGGGCGTTAAATTACTGTCAGATGAGCATCTAAGGGGCCGCCTTAGGGCCCTAGGTGGAATACAGGGGGCAAAGCCTTTTTAAGCTTAGGGGTCTTAGACATTAAATCACGGTCAGATGAGCATATTTTGATACCTCATTATTTTGTGACACTGGTAGTTAACTATTCTTTTCTGTTTAATATACTTTTTCAAAAAGAAGTGGGGTGTGGGGGGGGGGGGTGAGTGAGCTCGAGGCTCCCGATCCCCGCCGTTTCACGGGCTCTGACATGTAGGCATCTCAAGAAGCATATTTCTTGCCTGGCTGTAAATTTAGGAATTTGTCATTTTCGAACCGCAATCGCAAACGCAAAAAAAAATTGCTAAAAAGTGAGAAAAAATCTCGGAAAATTATGTAATTTCAGCATTATTGTAAACAACCGTTATGGAATTAGAAATAAACCTCGTTTGAATTCGATTTCCCCAATTTCTACCTTGTTGGTGGGGAAAATCGCAACTGATCTCTCCTACCTTTTTCTTTCTCTTTTTTTTCCTTTCCCTTTGTCTTCTCTTTCACTTTTCCTTCCCTTCCTTCTCTCTCTTTTAGATTTTCCGGGGGGGGGGGAGGGGGAGGCAAGGGCCTTTCGGCCCCCACCCCCTGATATACACGTTGTTGGCGGGAAAATTGCAACTGATATCCCCCTTCTTTTCTTTTCTTCTTCCTCTTTTTTGATGGGGGGGGGGGGGGGGGGCGGGGAGGCAACAGCCTGGGAGGCAAGGCCTTTTCACCCCCCCCCCCCGATCTCCTTCTTTCCCCTTTTTTTTCTCCTTCCTCTTCTTTTTTTTTTTGGCGGGGGGGGGGGGGCAAGGCCCGCTCGCCCCCCCCCTCGATCCGCATCTGACTGTGCCATCACACTCGTTGGATACAGTGATACACTTATATTCATTGGCAAATTGAGTGTGAGCCACCCCCCCCCCCCACCACACACACCTTTTGAAACCCAAGTGGCATACCCTCAATAGGCAAATTTAAGAATGCGTCCTTCCCACCCCCCCCCCCTCGAGGTTCTAATCTTTCTGCTCCTTTTTCTTCTCCTTTTGCTTGTCAGCTACTTTACTGGTATTCTACTTAAAATCATTTACATTTGTCGTATGCCCTCTCTTTTACAAAATCATTGACTTGTGCCTGCTTAAAGCAAATAGAATTTGCCTTCAGCCTATATACTCAAAAAGATTCCGTAGAATATATTACCAACAGAAAATAAGTTTCTGTATTGTTGAATATGTACAATAAATCGTCTCTCTTGAATCTGGAATTTGGACTCTTGAAAGTTTATTCTAAACAACACAATCTGAGTTCCGTAAGCGAGGATGTAGACACCGATCCAACTTTAAAAATTAACAAAAGATCAACACATTGTAATGCTGTAAATCTTGACCGAACGTTTATATGCCAGATCATTACCTGCTTTTTTGTTTACTGTCACTTATAATAGAAGCTCAATAATATAGTCTCCCGTAGCAATCATGAATCTACAAGACCACATCGAGAGAGAAAAATGCGAGCGCAGAAATCAGTTTATTGATTTAGCTCAATATCTGGATATTCGTTGTAATTTAAGAACTCTCATTATATATATCATTGTAACACTGTATGTAAAATTTATGTTTTTCTGTTTTTTATTAGCTCAAGAATAAAAGGTGGGCTGGTTGAATTAGGGCCTGTGTTTAATATTTGTTAAAGCTGTAATGTGTCAAATTCTCAAGAAACGTAAGTCGGAACAAATACTTTTTTCTCATACTTAAAAAATTACACACACACGCGTATAATATAATCCAAGTATGTATAAAAGTCATATATATATATATCAATTATCCAAATTGAACTATGTGTTATTTATATACATACATATGTATATATATATATATATATATATATACATAAAATATATATATATATATATTATATATATATATATATATATATATATATATATATATATATATATAATAATAATAATAATAATATATATATATATATAATATATATCTTTATTCTCTTACAGCAATGTAATTTGAGCATTTGATACATATGGGAGAGCGTAATCTTTTGGGGAAAAAAAAGAACCTTTAAAGGTGCATTCGTGAGGTTTGACCAGGCTTTCATTGGTGGTCAACCACATATCCAATCATGGTTATCTCTTATTTATACTGGTATTCTATATTTTTCCATTTATCGTAATTACCATTCGGCCCCAACAGGTAAGAAGAAGCCTCCCAAAATAAATATGTCCAAATACTCTCATGAAATGTGTATACCTGTGGATGGCTTAGGGTATTTTCATTTCATTGACTTCACAGCTATCTGACGATATTTTACGCTTGAGCGAAGATAAGCAATCTTGTTGAGTTGAGTCCACTCCAATATTACAGTGGAATCGGTTCCCTCAAAACAGGCGTTTAATTTCAGAGTGGACCCCGCAATTTTGAGCGTGGATTTCCCCTTCAAAACGAATTTATACCTGACATGACTCCACATTATATATCATATACTACGTCCTGTGCGGATATTATGCAAATGAGAACTTTTCAATCTCGTTAAGACCTTTAATGACAGAGCAGGAGTGGATTTATACTCCTGTATATTTATAGAATAATGACAGTAGAATATTACCTTTGGCGCGTAGTTCGAAGAAGTCTGGTCTCTCACCATCATCATCGGTGGATTTACTCCTTACCCGTAGTCCTACTGGAACGATCCTCAGCTGGCCTTCACTGACCGTTCGATCCACAAGTCTCCGTCTATCCTGTAAAAGCCTCATTGCTCTGTTTTGATGCACACCACCACCGCCACTCACATCGGGGTCATCCTCCTCTCCGTCTCCCCCATCACTCCCTCCTCCGGCATCGACAACGCCTCCATTTTCGCGGGTGGGCGGAGATCGTGGAATAGTTTCTAGTTCCTCATCCTCTTCCACCGTTTCGATCCGATTAGAATCTGATAAAATCACCCCTTCGCCGGAGAGTCTTGTCACGAGAGGCATGATCAATCAAGCCGCTAATCTCCCTTAAAGAACTATTGCGAATTTCTTACAGTGTAATCAGACTTTTAAACTTCCACCAACGTTAATGACTTTCTCTATCTCTTTCAGTTACAAGTAGCTTAATGCCAAAACACGAACTTGATTCCAGGATTGATTACAGATAGCTTCTCAGTCTCTATAGCTTGCTGAAGAACATAATTCGCCTTAAGCGCGTGCTGATTTAGCTCGCATGCTTCATAATATGATTATTTATTCGTTTTCGTTGATAATTTATGTATCGACGTTCTTTCAGTCCAAAATCAACTCACTGTGCTACACTAATAAACATGAACTGTCTTCGTGGTTCAAACTTGTAAATTCTGAATTGCGGGTGCTCGTTCACCGAACAAAATGTATCGTGACTACTGTGTGAGCTCAGTACTTCGTTGTTTTTGGCGCATGCGCGATCTGTCCATTCTATACCCCCTGGAGAGAAGGCGAACGCTTTGAGGAGTGTCCAAAATACGACAGGTGCCTCAATAATCTGCCATGTCCCGAAAGCTTGTCTCATGCTGCCCAACTAAATATAACTCCTTTCTTCTACTTTAGATAGATCTAGAGTTATTCAAAATTGAGTTTTCATTCTCTGAAAACAACCGCATTCAATAATCGTGGTATAGTGGTTCATTTACTTGCCTCTCAACCCATGGTTGTAGGTTCGAATGCCAGCCCGGCACTATAACATCTTTTGTCAAGACGTTAATCCACGTCCCCCCTCTCTAACCAGGTGTAAATTGGAACCTTGCAAATGATGGGCCAGGAGGAAGAGCAGTATTAACTACCCTGGGTAATTAAGACCTTTTCTTTCTTTTTTAATTGTATTATTAATTTTATTATAAAAGTCATATCACTGCATTCAAACTCTAGCATCAGTAGTTTGGAGAGATTCGTACAGAACGGTCTTCTATCATATCAAAAGTACACACACCTTTACCATGTTCACCAGACTCATTTATTCATTGAATCATGTCTGTCATGAGTCCATGCACCAAATACTCTGACAAATAGGAGCTTTAGATCAGACAGATACGCCCGAATTCATAACAGTGGTACAAAGAGGTTAAAACCTCAGTCTGATTTTCTGATTCACAAAGGAGGTTGAAACCCCGGGGGGGGGGGGGGGGGGGTTAAACCATGGTCTCATAAAACCTAGGGGGGGGGTTAAATCCCCGGGTTTTTTTTGTACCATTGTTGTGAATTCGGGCAATAGGGTACATTTATTTTGCGAGACTAAAAAGGATATCATCTAAATTCAAAGGGATCATTTTTTAGTGGAATATTGGATGGGCTTCAAAGAGATGCACCGAGCCACCGAAAGTCATTAACGTGAATTCGATTTTGTTTTAAATAATGTATTTGTGTAACTGAGGTGATTGTTTACATTAAACTTGATATTGTCTGACGTACTCTGAAACCTAAACCACGTGACAGTTATATCATCTGAGGAAGACTAGTGATCATACAAAATTCAACTTTCATTTTCTCTACATTTTAACGCTACAACTGACGTATACTGTATTTGTATTTGTAATGTATAGAGTAGGGGTTATAGAGTGCGCCTAGTTTTTTTGCTCAATTAAAGTCAAATACGAGACGTCTCTTGAGTTGTCATGCGCAATTTGACAGAGGACTAAAATCTGCATTTGTAATAATTCATCATGATTTTTTTATACTTTTTTGTTGTTGGTAACAATAAATTCGTAAGAAATAATCATTATTTGAAGTGAATGGTTATGAGGAGTCTACTTCACAGTCACAGTTGATGTATTCAGTGATGCAATACCATTAATCACGATCATCATCGTCAAAATCATCATCAACATCGTCATCACCATCATCTTCATCATCATCATCATCTTCATCATCATTATCATCATCATCGTCAAAATCATTATCAACATCATCATCATCATCATCATCATCATCATCGTTGTCACCATCAACATTATCATCATCATCATCATCATCATCATCATCATCATCATCGTTGTCACCATCAACATTATCATCATCATCATCATCATCATCACCATCATCGTTGTCACCATCAACATTATCATCATCATCATCATCATGGTTGTCACCATCAACATTATCATCATCATCATTGTCATCATCTTCATCATCATCATCGTTGTCACCATCATCATTATCGTCATCACCATTATCATTGTCATCATCTTCTTCTTTTTCTTCTTCCTCTCATCATTACGCCGTTGTCAAGTTCTTTTTCTGGATATATTTTAGGTTTCCCTCCTTTCCTCCTTACTTTCTGTTCATCTTCGTCTTAATCTTTTCTCATCTTCTCTACTTTAATCAGCTTTTTAAAATCTTATTCTTCGTTTTCCTTTTCTTATTCTTCTTTTTACTTTTCTCTTTGTCATTTTCTCTTTTTTCTCTAGAAATCACTCAAATCGATTGTGGACTCTAAAATAATAAACAATCATTAAAAAATAAACAACAATAAACATCAAAGGTGTATACAGTAATGTACCACAACCTACTATTGACGCATGAGCTATAGTGTGTTTCAACCAAAACGTATCCCAAATGGACACATACAAATTTTGAGCCCCCCCCCCCTTCCCTCGGTGAAATGGATATGAGGCAATTTTCCAAACGAGATTATGGCATTCTACATTAAGCTTCATTTCTACCCATTTCCCCCTTCCTTTATGACCAATTGCAAACCTGTCGTTCTTCATTTTCCGTTTTAGATTCCCGCCAGTCGATGATGTGATTGATTTAGCTGTTCTCTCGGGCTATCCTTATTCTTAGTCTCCGAAATTGAAAAATAATCAAATCAAGTCAATCAAAATGTGTATACTCAGTAATAAAAAAATATCGGATAAGCATAAACAGTGGCGCGGTGTTTGTGATGAATGGCGAAGCAGAACGAGTTAAGGTTTTTTTTATTTTATTTTTGTTTGCAACCAGTTTGTAAAATTCAGCAAAATCCAAGGTAGATGTGAAGTTAGGATTTTGTTCAAACATTAATGGAGCCCGATTTTTACCTTTACCTTTACCTTTTACCTTTACAGTTAAAGAGTCATCCTGAGCACTAAAAAAACCCGCAAAAGAGCCTCAAGCTGCCTTAGAGAAAAATATATTATTTAATGCACAGCTGTTGAAAAGAACTTCCGCATTAATGAATTCAAAACTATGGTTTTTAATTCGAATGAATATTCATTTGTAAGTGGTAAAGTAATAATTATAGAGTATGCGGTACATGTAAAGCTGCCTTGGTGGCCACCTCTCTGTAAAGGCAACCCGTCAAATATAGTGGGCATGCATTTCGTCTCCCTCAAGAGAAAATATGTGTTACGAAACCTGTCTACAAAGGCCACCTGTCTACAGTGGACACTTTGTCATTATCTGTTGTGGCCATAGTTTTGTTATATTTCAAGATCATTTCAACACATACAAATAGCAGAAAGAGTGCTCCTCCCTACATAAAATAATGAAACATGTAGAAAAAAAACATATCACATAACAAATTAAAGGCCTACTTGAATGATAGATATGAAAATAACGCCTGGCTGGAATGCTCCCCAGGGAGTGGAGATTGTGCACACATTGTGTGCGGGGTAATAATAATATATTTGTAAAGCGCTTAGAGACATTTGTATTAAGCGCTATATAAAATTAAATATTATTATTATTATTAAAATGGATATAGGAATTGTAACTCTTCACAAGCCCTGGTTGCTAAGATTACTAACATTTATAATATAAGGTTAAGTAGCTAGGTATACGGTTTATCAGAGTGTAGCATCAAAATATGTACATGCAAATCTTGACCTTGGATTCCTGCTCTGTTATTAGAGGTCTTAACGAGATTGAAACGTTCTCATTCATAGTCATTTGCATACTATCCCCACAGGGCGCAGTATATGATACGTAATTTCATTATCGAGTTTGGAACAACATGCTCAATTCGTATGGAAATCTTTCCACGTTCAAAATACAATTGGAGACCCAGCTTTTCCCACAATGGCTTTTAATTTTGAAAATGTTTCTGTATTTTAAATGCTATGGTACTACTTTGTGTATAATAGCGCAGTATAAATTACCACTATTATAATTATTATCAATATGAAAAAGGGTAACTTTAGAATAATTCGAGATAGGAAAACTGTTTGATCTAAGAAACATCGATATCCACATTAATTTTACTTCGAATATATATAATTTCAATTAATATGCAATAGAGTACCAAAGTGTGACGACATACTGGCCAAGGTGTCAAAGTTGCTGGTTCCTAACAATTTTGTGCTAAACAATGGTGTGGTGATCACACCAGCCCCAAACACAGAATTTGTCCTGCTTTAGCCCGTTGCTTGAATGATTTCGCAGTGAACCTCATGCCCAGGCCCTGTTATTTGGAACCAGTAGGCTTAGCCTAGACGATGAGCGAATATGACGTAAGCAGTTCGGTACTTTATATATAATCCAATTTATTGTAGTGTATATCTTTTCATTTCCATTTGCCAACCACGTTCTGATCCAGCCATCCATCTCCTTTCCCTAATCTTCCTTTCTATTCCTTCTCTATTCCTCCATCCGTGCGATGACCTCTATAAAAGGCTGATCAATCATACCAATAATCGTCACTGAATATCCTCTACTCCATCCGTATACGTCCGACCATTGATTTTTGCATTACCCAACCTCGGCGAAACGACATCGGAACGATGCATTGGCATTCTAGAACGTCAAGCTTTCCTCCGAAATATTGATGGGAGCGAAAACATAACCCGTGGCGACCCTAAATGAGTAAGATACACACAGCTGAGTCAAGCCATCGCGATCGAGGTCGGCTGTACCATGAACAGTAGTTAATCATGTTACATCCGTGCGCTAAGTAATCCCTCATTTTCTAGCTTCCTTGAGTAGACTACTAATCAGGGAACCCTATTTTGTATTGATTTTCTTTTAGCAATTTCCGAATATCTTAAAAATTTAGACTTTGGGGGTATTAAAAAAAAAATCTTCGTTTCCTGTCTGGTTGAATAGAAGCTCTAATATTACCGATTAACCATTAATCAGTGTAATGTTACATGAAATTTGTTTATAGTATTCCATTTGTAAGTGAAACACAATTATAACTGATTTATAGTCTTATCAATATTAAATTCCCATGAATTCAAATTGTGATACTAATTTTGTCCATGTACAAGCATCACTGATCTGCAATCAATCCTTGATCTGTAATTTTATTTATTTCTAAGTTCTATTTTTGTTCAATTCACCATGTTTGATATAACAATATATTTTATAATCATTGTAAACATTATTAAATTAAGACCATTTTCCATTAGTCTTTGTGGGCATTAGTATTATTCTTGAGATGATTTCGTAGCCGGTGACAGAAAAGTCTCGAGGACTGACATGAACGTTGACATAGACTCAGCGTTCCTGATAGATTGTGGAAGGTTATTCGACAGCTTAGGTCCAGAGAAGTAGAAGGCTCTTCAAACCGACTTGTGCGACTCATAGTTTCTGTCAGGATGTCCAGGAAAATATGTAAATCTCACATATCAAAATTATGGGTTTCATTAAGAACAGCCAATAGTGTAAACACATAGATAACAAAGTACTTTTATTCCAGATTTGAATAAGTAGCTTTGATTTGAGTTGATGTTTAGTTATTTCCATATGTTTGCAACACTTTAACATGTAAGGTCGCTTGAAATTATACATAGGAAAGGGTCATTAGTCTGCAAAGATAGCGTGCATCGTTGACAAAATATAACTATTATAAACGATTAGGAAAGACTTATTGCGAGTTCGTTATTCCCCAATCGCTTGGCAGCGGCTCCGTCAATGGCACCATTGGAATTTAATTCATATTGAACCCTTGCCAGGATACAGAACTTCTCGTTATTAGAACCGTGGTTTAGAGTCCATTCCCTCAAGTATTCGTCCAAACAAAAAAGCTTCCAGTCCGTCCAAGCACTTGCCTTTACCCACAAACGTAATCAGTGGCATTAGTGTGAGTCTATATTGAAGGATCGCTGGCAT